GTTGTCGTGGAAATAGTTTCTGTATACACTTTGGCCTGTGAGATTTATCACAGGCTCAAGAAAGAACCATTTTGGCATATGTCACCTCTTTATTCTTTTTAAAAATGTTATTACTTTTATTTATTGGTGTTTTATTTATTGGTGTGGTATTTTGTGTGGGGGGTAGGCGGGTGGGTGGGCGGGGAGAGGATGTGCACGTGCTGTGGTATGCCTGTGGAGGTCAGAGGGCACCTGGTGGGTGCCATCGTGTGGCTCCAGGGAAGTGAACTCAAGTTGCCTGGCTTAGTGGCAATGTCTTTACCCTGGGAGCCATCTTGCTAGTCCACCTCATTTCATTCTTGTGTTGTTGTCGTCTTTGTGTGTGTGTGTGTGGTTTTGTTTTTTTCATGACAGGGTTTCTCTGTGTAACCCTGGCTATCCTGGAACTCACTTTGTAGACTGGGCTGGCCTTGAACTCACAGAGATCTGCCTGCTTCTGCCTCCTGGGTGCTGGGATCAAAGGTGTGTGCCACAACCATCCAGCTCTCATTTCGTTCTTCTCGTGTTCCTTCAAGGTGGCTGCCATAACTCTTCTCTCTCTCTCTCTCTCTCTCTCTCTCTCTCTCTCTCTCTCTCTCTGTATTTATTTATTTGTTTGTTTGTTTGTTTATTTGATGTGTATGTCTGTACAACACGTGTGCCTGGCGCTTGAGGAGGCCAGAAGAGGGCATCAGATCCCCTGGGATTAGAGCTGTCCTCTGACAGGTGGTTATGAGGCCCCCTGTTGCTGGGAATCGAACCCAGGTCTTCTGGAAGAACAGCCAATGCTTTTAACTTTGAGCCTCCTTTCCAGCCTGTTCTGAGACACTCCTGACTGGCCTTGAACACTCACTCCGCCCCCTGCCTTATCTCAGTGCTAGGATGCAGGCCTGCCCTGCCACATCCCGCTCCAACCGCTGCTTTAGAAATGATGAAATAGTTCCGGGAGGGAATGGGATTGCTCACGGCCACAATTAAGAAGAGATGGAGCCCGGGCTCCTTGCTGTCCTGGGCTCTAATTTGCTTCTAATGCTGGCTCCCTGCTCACTGAGAGAAATTAGTAGGACTTAAATTTTTTAAGATTCTATTTTTATTTTTACTTATGGATATGTGTATTTGTATATGTTTGTGCACATGAGAGCAATGCCCATGGAGGCCAGAAAAGGGTGCGCAATAGCCTAGGGCTGGAGTTATAGACAGCTTTGAACTGCCCTATGTGAGTGCTGGGAACCAAACTCTTAAGGAGCAGTGCGCTGTTCTGACCATTGAGCCATCCTGCCAGCCCTACAACTTTCTGTGGGTGAAAACCCCATGGCCTACCTGAGACTCAATAGTCTCCTTCCCACTGTTTTGTTTTTAAACAGTGACTTTACTTACACCAAAAACTATGCTTCTAGTTGAGGAAAGTGTGGCATATAGGAAAGAGGATTTAAAGCTGCTTTCTTTCTGGGCACATTCTTATAGTCCCAGCCACTTTGGAGACCGAGGCAGGAGGATTCCTAGAACCTAGGTGTTTGAAACCGATCTGAGCAGCAGAGTAAGAGCCTGTCTTGCCTGGGCGGTGGTGGTGCACACCTTTAATCCCAGCACTCCGGAGGCAGAGGCAAGCGGATCTCTGTGAGTTCGAGGCCAGCCTGGTCACAAAGCAAGTTCCAGGACAGCCAGAGCTAAACAGTGAAACCCTGTCTCGGGGGTAGGGAAGGTGGGGGAAGTGGGGGGTGGGCAGCTTGTCTCAAACAAGCAGATTCCTCTCTCCTGCCTTCTGTCTGCCCTGGTAAGCCTGCTCCCAGAGGGAAGGAAGTCAGCACAACTGGAAATTCCTCTGTGAACAACAGAAGGCCAGGTTAGACACCCCAGGCCCTGGCCAGAGTGCACCGCCTCTCCAAGTCCCACACCAAATACTAAGGTGTGCCCATAACAGCAACACCAACCTATAAAATGATGGTAAATGTCACAGTGACATTTAAGAATTCAGTGAGGAAATCAGGACAGGAATGATCTTAAACCACACAGGAAGCTTGTCACAAGTCTCAAGTTTTTATTTTCAGAACAGAGTCTGGTTTTATTTTTAAAAAGAGGGGGAAAATGTGATAAATGCTAGCGAGGTGCCGCTTCTCAGTTCCTTCTGGGCTCGAATTCCCAGCTCTGTGCCCCACACACCAGGGCCCAGTTCCCAGCATGTTTAACAGAATAGTCTTGCCTAGACACAGCTGTGCATACCTGTTTCCCTGGGAGGCCGAAGTGAGAGGGCTACCTGAGCCCCAAGACTCTAGTACAGCCCTGGGAACATAGTGAGACCCTCTTCTCAAAGAAAAATTTCAAAGGTGGGGTGCAAGTCTTTAGAGCGAACAGTCTTTAGATTGAACAAGACTTCGTGTTGGAGATGCAGTTCAGAGGCTGATTAGCGTTTGTCAAGCATGCTTGAGGCCCTGGGTCTAATCCTCAGCATTGCACAGTAATTAACTCGTTTTTAAAAACAGGTACCATTTGGAACTTGGGTAACAGGCCCTTCCCTTCCATGTTCAGATGCTAGGGGCAGGCAGGGCTACATTCTGAGCCCAGGCTTCTTTTCCATGACCCGTTCTTCTGGCACAAGCCTCAGGACAGTGTACTATTCTGGTCATGACACCTTGGGGACATCTCAAGTCTGATCTCTATCTACAGATACCTTAGAAAGCAAGAGGTGTGGGGGGGGGTAGGCCTTAAGGGTCATGTGCAAATGGGACAGGGGAATTTGTGAAAAGACCCAAAATAAATACATCAGAAGGAAGGGACCAGCCCCCTGAGCACAAAGTACTCACAGAAGACATGTTGAAGAGGACGCTGGAGATGTGCTGGGCCCTCAACCAGGCCCTCAGCAGTCCTGGCCTCTGTCACGAGTGGCCATGTGATCACGTCTCTGGATGTACTTGGGAAATGGCAGCCTTCCATCCTAAATCCAGTGGCAGTCTCTCAGCAGCAGACAGCAGTCATACAGTAGAGGGGTGGCTATCCAAACAGTAGAAAGAGGGTGCATTGGGGCCAGCCGGAGCCGGCCATGGCTCAGACATAATTTCTTCTCACAGTCATTCAAATTAGGTAGCGAGAAACACAGCGAACCTAGAGAACCAATACAGAACACTGGGAACAGCTCCAGCCCTATCCAGGGCTTCAGCTCAGGCTGAGAGTCCAGTCAGAAGAGGAGTCATCCAGGGCAAGCAGTAAAGGCAGGTGTATTGTGAAAAGCAGCCAGCCAGCACTGGCTGAGGGCACAGGACCAGGAGCAAAGGATGCATGGACTGTAAACATCCTCCACATGGCCCACTCTGAGAGCTGGACAGGCCCCCAAGTGCTCCAGCCAAGCTCAGCAGCTCATGTTTCCATCCCATAGATACCCTCCGCCACAGCCCCAGGCAGTTGAGAAAGAGGGGCCCTGTTTGGGCCCTTGGTTCTCAGAGGTCCTAGGAGAGCCAAAGGGGATGAAGGAACGGGCCTGGCTGCTGAGTTAGCAGTCAGTGACTTGGCACTTTGGGCCTGCCCCTGTGCTGTGGGCCTTAGAGGAGGTCAGCATCAATGCGCCCTGCAATGCCCGTCCCTCAACCTAGTTGGTAAACCTTCAGCTCTCCCAAGGCCAGACGCAGGGCAGAAGCAGGGCTGTCCTCAAGTACAGCCTGGATAGCTCCTCTTATGTCTGCCTCTAATGGCCGCATTAGCCCGGAGCTTTCAGGCTCCAAGCTCAAAGAATACCACCCTAGAAAGGTGACTGGGGCCTAGAAAGTAAAAATGACATGGCATTCAAATCCAGAAAATAGCAGGCAGATCATGTCTCCTGGCCCCTTGTCTAGGTTCATTACACCACATAAAACCCCCAAAACAGAAGAAAAGGGAACCAAAATTCTTAAGGTTTCCCCCCCACAATCCCATTGTAGGGGTGAGTATATCCTGGCCTGGCTCCCTATGCCTTCTGGCCTCTGACTCCCCTCAGCATACTTATCCTGCCTTAGAGACTCCAAGAGTGACATCCCTAGTCAAGAGTAAAGTAGCTAACCCTGACCTCCCTTGAGGGACAATCCTAAGGAGAGCCTCGCCAGGAGGGCCCTGTGGGGGAAGGCTGGCCAGGAGGCTCCCACAGTGTGCCCTCTCCCTGAGGAGACCTGAAGCAGACAAGAGAAGAAAGGTGGCCACGCTCTCTGCTCTATGCCGAGCTTTCTAGAGGAGCAGGTGGCACCCCGAGAGTCCCTAAGAGGCCTGACCTCACACACATTCGAACCCACTAAAGCAGTGGCTCTGAACCCAGTTCCAACCCAGCCAGTACCAACACAGGAAGGGTAAGCGTTCTGGAGCATAAGGAGGAACCGAAAGAGAGCAAGCCAATGGCTGATACTCCACAGACCCTGTAATATCGGGTACCGAACCCCAAAGGGATCCAGCGGCCATGCTGAATGCAACTTCTGAGTGTTGTTTGTTTGTTTGTTTGTTTTTTGTTTTTGCGAGCAGCATCAGTGTGTGATGCAATGAAAGTTGAAAGCACAGAGGTAGAAATACACACTCACCCAAGAAAGGGTGTTGTTTGGTCCTCACAGCAGAGACCTTCGCCTCCCCAGGCTGAGAACAGAGGAGCAGGAGGGAGGACGACCCTGGGTGAGCGTCTCCCTTGGAGTACAGCAACTGAGCAACTCCTGGGGATCCCGGTCATAAATTCAGGCAGGAAAGGATGGTGGCGGCATGTGTGGTGGCAGCAAGGTCTCCCTAGATCTCCTTCCACTGCAAGGAGCATGGGACAGACACCCAGAAAGGACCACACACACACACACACACACACACACACACACACACACACACACACGCGCGCGCGCACGCGCACGCGCACGCGCACGCGCACGCGCGCACGCACACTCCAGCTATCAAAGCCCACCACCCCTGCCCGAATCCCGCTTTCCTTCACTCCCCCGGGGCAGGATGAAGGCAGGAAAAGCAGGTGGCACATTTATCCAGTCCCTTGTATGTCAGGACAGGCAAGACTATGGAGAAGGACCATGGTGAGCACGGACCCTCTCCCCGCACAACATATTGCTGGTCTCCCTCCAAGTAGTCTCTACCCATGGGGTGCAGAAGAATTCCCCAGCCTCTAGCCTTATCAACAGTTACCTCTTCTCAACACAGCCAAGGGGCCCAGAAACTCTCAGGCCAAAGAGCCTTGCCCTTCACCTTTTTCAGTTCTGAGAGGCCACAGCTAGGGTGTTGACATAGCCATGAGGGCCCCCTTCATTTTCCAAGTGGCCCCGCTGGGAGCCTCCCTGAGGTGGCGGTGGTGGCGGTGGTGGTGGGGCCGAGGGAGGAGCACCATAGCTGCTTCTGGCCCGACTTGGGGAAACCCAATTCCCTCGGTCCCAGCAGCCCTCCAAGGCCTCCAGGCCACGGCAGCCAAGGAAAAAGAGGTTCTTGAGCATGAAGATGGACAGCGGCTGTTGGTAGCTCACCACCAGGAGGCTGCGCAGCGCCAGCAAGGGCACGTCCACCAGGCAGCCTCCCAGCAAGCGCAAAAGGCGACTGCAGCTTCCGGGCCCGGAGGCCTGGCCCCAGGACGGAGCTGCTGCGGTGGTGTTCAGCTCGTACAGCCAGAGCACTGGAGAGGCGAGCGTGAGGAAGTAGACGGCGATGAGCAGGTAGCGCAGGTGCGCGGGAAGCGGCACGCGGCCGTCCAGCATCAGCTCCACCAGCGTGAAGCTATCCAGCAGGTCCAGACACGTGCCCAGGAAGCAGCCCGCGGCGCGATGCTGCTGTGGCTGCAGGAGCAGGGGACCCGCCGAGCCCGGGGGCGCGCCCGCCTCGCTGATGGCACGCACCAGGCTGTAGAGCAGCGGCACGGACAGCGCCATGGTGAGGCGGAAGCCCGTGGTGCCAAAGGGCGCTCGCAGCTCGATGAGGTCCAGGATAGACGTGCCCAGGATGAGCACAACCTTGGGAGTGAAGGCGATGGAGTAGATGAGCCAGGCCAGGTACGCAAAGGCGAACTCGCCTGCCGCCCCGGCCGGCCCCGGCCCGGCCCCCGAGCCGCCCGAGCCTCCTCGGCCCCCGCGAGCCTTGGCCCCGGCCCCCGCGGACGCCGCAGCCGGTAGGTGCAGAGGCGGCGCCGAGTGGTGGTGGAGCTGATGGTGGTTGTGCGTGCTGCTCGCTGGACCGCCCCGACGGCCCCGGCTGTTCTTGGCGAAGAAGATGGCCCAGCCCACCACCACCACCAGGTCAGTGGCGATCCAAGAGCACCAGTACAGGTCGGTGACGGCGATGAGGTATAGGTCCAGCAGACCGCCCTGAGCCAGCAGCAGCACCACAGACAGCGCCTGGTAGCCCCAGTGGCATCCGGGACTTGGCGAGCAGCCGTGCCGCCGACCCCTGCGGCCGGACCGGGTAGGGCGGCCGCAGCAGCAACAGCAGCAAGAGCAGCAGGAG